GATGTGTACGAGGGCTGCTGTTTATATTTCGGGAATAGTAAATAAGAAGCAAAACTTTTAAGTTAAAATGGCTTTATTGTTTTTCAAAATATTCCCCCTTGTAGCGCCATTTGGCTTATAATGTGTATTAGAATAATATTAGGATCGAATTTGATTAAGTCTAGTGTAAGTTATGCTAGGGCAAAGCGGAAGCGTAATAAAAGCTCGCTCTCTCGCTCTTGGCGGATTCGCTCCGCTTTGCCACCGTAGGTAAGATACGCTTAAACGAAATTGTTTGTATATAGAGGAGTCGCCAAAATCTATTGAAAACGAACGCACGCCACCCAAAGTTTTTGGTATTTCATATTTAGAAAAACTATTCTAAAATTTCACCCGTGATGATCAATACACTTTTGCATTCGTTAGAACCATAGCTATTGGCAGTTTTTCGTATAAACCTATTAAAGCAAGCCAAAGTTCACTTTTTCAGTATATTTTAGTATTTTTGTAGTCATGTTTTCATTTTCCGTTATTTCCCATAAGAAGGATTATTCTTGATACATATTTGTAGTTAGAGTGTTTTTTACATGTTAAACTATCTAAAAAATCATATAAAATTTGCCCAATATCGGTTAATGGTATATTTTTAAAGTGTTTCAGTTACCTCGGACTAACATTAGATCAACATTAAGATGTAACATTAGATGTTTTTGCATTTAATAACTTGAAAAATTAGCGCTTCATATATTGGCAAAAAAAATGTTATACAGATAGTTCTACCCAATTCGTAGAGTTTTGCAATTTTCTAGCCCTACCTCAAAAAAGACTTATGTTTTTTGTGACGTAACCGGTGAACCGGTGACATCGGATCGGAACACACAAACCGAGATATGCATATGTCTTCCAATTGAGACAGTGTATTTTTAAACCTATTACACGCTGTTTCTAAATGCAGCGGGATCGACTCATCCCAATCTAGTTTGTTAAGCCTATGCTCCTGCAACCTTTTCAAACACCGGATAGCTAAGAATGGGGCTGGTTCACTCCCATAGGTTACAGTGTTGAGCTTGCATAATTTCAAAGATTCAGAAGGGTCTCGGCAAATAACGAACTGCCCTTGGTACGTGCGCGGCTCCACCCTACATCGGGATTTGAATCTGCATACAGTAGAGGAGCAGATTGGAAGGCACACCAGCAGATACAGTGACAGGCTAATTAGACACCATAGTATGCTCGCCAGACGATTACTACCTGCCAGGCCTTTGAGGCGGTTGAAGAGATTGGGTTTTGCCAAAACTATTGGCCAACTCTAAGTTTCCCTCCCAATATTATAATATTACTTTTTTTTTATTATTACTATATACTATACTATATTATATCTCGATAAGCCCTCTTGCATAAAGCAATAGGTTTGGTCTCCTTAATACTATTTACCTGGGTTGTTAAGATACGATATATGCAATGTACGGATTCAACGCTTAACAAAAAAAAAAAAAAAAAAAAAAAACAAAAAGAAGGGTCTCTTCTCCACACTATGATTTAAAACTGCCGATTCCCTTCGTTCATCATCACTTGACGATACATCTTTTTAACATCGGCAGTCAGGTCACACCTGTGCAGACGGATACGCAGCAGTGTCGAGTATAATTACTCTTGAATGGTTGGTCCCACCATCAGAATATCATTCTGATGAGGGATTACGTAGTGTGGATTAGAAGGAATCGTATTGTCTGTAGAAGACATATGACCTAAGGAGAGGTACTCTTCCATGAATTTCAAGTACATTTTCTTTAACTCAGGGTCACGCTGCAATTTTCTTTCGAGCGAAAAAAACCGCCGTTTAGCAACCTCAAAGGAGCTGCCTAAACAATTAAGATCTGATTTAAACGGGAGCCTTACTTCGAGCCGACCTGATGATAGTACCTGAGTCGTCTTACGATAGTGTTCTTCGCATAACTTGTGCTCAGGTGTGACAATTTTCTTGGTAGATGGCATTTCATCCAGTGACCAAAACTTTTTTAAGGTCCTATCGGTGGATACTAGCAACTCTTCACTGCAACTCAAACTGTTTGTAATTTGAGGAGCAGAACTCCTTGAAACACATTTTCCCGACACAACCCAACCAAGAAGGGTTTTCTGACGAGTTGGAAAGTCGGGACCCTGATTAATTTGACCAACAGCTAATAATAATAATTCAATTCTACTCCAATTAGAATATCTATTCTTTGTGGCTTGTAGAAATATGGGTCTGCCAGTGGAAGGTTCTCTTTGATTCGCCAGTCAGTAACATTCACTCACTGGTCAGGGTGATAACCTGAATTTGATTTTAGGATCCAAAACTCAAGGGAGAACTCACTACCATTTATTCGCGACTTCCCCACTGTGTGTAGAGAGCTCTGGCCAAAATGTGTTCACCGCTCTTAGTTCGGACGCTTACGATCGACGTAGTCAGAATTACCCTGTCCAACGCTGTCGCATGCAGGTGGCAACGCGAGACTATTAGCCGACATTGTGTATCGATGCAATAATGTATGATGTGAGCGGTTGCACACTCGACATTTATTGGCTTTGCATTTTACAGCAGCGTGGCGTTTTCGCAAACAATCAAGCATTAAGGATGCCGACTTGGCAAACTCGAAAATTTGCCTCTCCGAGAGAGGCACTACATGGTCTCCTGAATTGCAATAGCTACAAGCTTGCTTAGTTCTTCTGCTGGTGGAAGTGGAAGAACTGCGAATGTTGCTTGCTTGGCATGACTTTGTCGTGTCTTGGCTTCGTCGATTCTTCAGCAGACTGATGCTGGTATCGACGATTCAAGACTTTCTCAAAGTCGGACCAAAACGGCAACTTCTCATAAGTAAGCTGTTCATCCCACTTTTGTTTCGTCACTGGGTCGACTCTGTTCAAAATGAGATGAATGAGCATTGCATTCGAAATTTTTGTATAGTCTCTGATCGACAGTAACGATCGGTAAACAGTATCGATTAGATTTCTTAGAGACGATTCAGATGGATGCGATATTCTCGGCAGATTGAACAATGAGGAAATATTATTCGTGAAAATCAAATAATCGTTGTCATATTCTCGTTTTAGGCCAGCCATGGCGTTTTCATAATTTGCCTTGGTGACTTGGAACGCCTTTATTTTTCCTAATGCTTCATCAGAGAGGCACGATGTCTAATGCTCAAAGACTATAAGACCTAGAGAAACGATGTTTTGGATCCATGTAACCAAAATTGAAAGCGATGTGAGATGTTTTCAGCACAAGACACTTCACAGAAAGATCTGAATATCTTTTGCTCAGCCTTCAACTTTCCGCACAAATACCTCTGATTCCTCTTTTGGATCTTTAAATCCAACTGCGACCGACGCGATGATATTATGCAAAATGATTGGTTGGACACACACTATTATGTTTGCATAGACTGCAATTTCTTGTGTCACTGTCATTTATTGTTATTGCCTATAATTAAATTTACAGTCCACCCGGGGACGCCATGAAAAATTAGAAGAGTTTTTCCAAACGAAAATCACCGAAAACTTTCGATGACTGTAATTTAAGTACTTATTTGGCGGGGCGAAAATGAATGTGTTCGATCTCTTTCAATCCCTTATACTAGCTAACCTACGGTGGCAAAGCGGGGCGAATTCGCTAAGAGCGAGAGAGCGAGCTTTTATTGCGCTCCCGCTTTGCCCTAGCCTAACTTACTCTAGACTTCATAATTAAGATAAAATAAAAAAATTCATCGCCGCCATAGATGGAGGTCACACATATTCTTGATTAGCATTAATAACCGAGTCAATAAAGCCATGTCTGTTCGTCCGCCCGTCCGTCTTGTTTGACTTCTAGCTCTATGAGACCATAAGAGCAAGAGCAACGTGATGTTATTTATTCAGTGGCTACGCAAAGCGCTTAATTATCGTGGCAGTAGCTGCGACTCACAATGTTCACCCTCGTTTTTTTATACCCGATACTCAAAATGAGTATAGGGGTATATAAGATTTATGGTGAAAATGGATGTGTGTAACGTCCAGAAGGAAGCGTTTCCGACCTCATAAAGTATATACATATATATTCTTGATCAGCATCAATAGCCGAGTCGATTGAGCCATGTTTGTATGTCCGTCCGTCCGTCTGTCCGTCCGTCTGCCCGTCCCTATGAGCGCCTAGTGCTCAGAGACTGTACCAGCTAGAGAAACGACTTTTTATATTCCGAATTCTGTGATATGTCACTGTTACAAGTATATTTCAAAACTTTGCTCCGCCCACTTCCGCCCCCACAAAGAGCGAAAATCTGTGGCATCCACAATTTCAAAGATACGAGAAAACGAGAAACGCAGAATCGTAGGGAATGACTATATCTTCTAGACAATAGAATCTGAACCAGATCGTATTATTTTTATAGCCCGAACGAAGAAAACAATTTCATTCTCTCTCGCTCTGTCTCCAACACACACATTTCATGGTCGGCTTTGTCTATCCCTAAAAGTGAGCGTCTATATCTCAGAAACTATAGGAGCTATAGCAACCAAATTTTGAATTCACTTTCCTGTGATTTCGAAATTTCACTCCACCCCATTCACAGATCTCAGAGACTATAACAACTAAATCAACCGATTTTGATATCCACACTCCTGCTGGATCTCACCATTACAAGTGTATTTCAAACTTTCGCCCGGCCCCTTCCGCCCCCACAAAGACCGAGAATCTTTGGCATGCACAATTTTGAAGATACGGGAAAATGGAGAATGACCATATCTACCAAATAGCCGAATCTGGATCAGACCAGATCATTTTTATAACCAAAAGGAGCAAAACTATTTGCAGTGGCTACGCTGTCTCTGTCTCTCTCGCAAGCGCTTTTTTCGTTCAAAGAAGGAGACTAAGTATCGGGTATAAATGTAGAGTTGAGGCCACAGCAGTGGGTTTGTGTTATTTATGGAATACATTTACTTTTTTGGAATGACAAATTATATTTTCTCAAATATTTATATTTTACTCATCAAAACTTCTTTTATAGAGATCTACGATTATGCCACGCTGATAGGGATCGATCCTCTTAAGGAGCACCATTTGCTTTATCTCGCTAAGGAAGGTTTGATGGCCGCACTGCCTTCGGAGTGGAAAATCTGGTGAGCTTACGGTTTTAATCAGCCATTGTATTACTAAGAAGGTTTTTTTTTTAATCTTCTACAGCTACTCCGAGGAGAAGAACGGTCATTACTATCATAATACGTTCACCAAGCAGTCGCAGTGGGATCATCCCTTAGATGCTGTGTATCGTGAATTAGTAGAGAAGACACGTCATAACATAGGGGCGATAATTCCTGAAGGAGCCATGGTTATTATTGATAGCTCAGATGATATATCCCAGTTGGATTCTGGTATACGCAGTATGCATTGTGCCGATGAATTCTACGAAATCAACTCACCTTTCAACAGCGTTAAAACGCAGGCGTCAATGATTAATTCCGTTTCTACTCACACGACCAGTTTTGCAGGTGCAAGTGTATTTAGTGGCGGTGTTAATCGATTTTTAGAGTCTCGCACTAGGAATTTCGGTCAAATTTTCAATTGTGTTAAAAATGCTCAACTTGAAAACGGCAACACAAATTCTCCAATTAGTATGAACACACATTTATCCGCATCTAAACTATCTCACAGGATGCTGGCACTAAGCAGGGAAAACGAGGAGACAAGGGAAAACTCAGATTCTATAGTGGAGCAGCGAGATGGAATGTTTCTGCTCTCAGGTGCAAGCGGTTCCAGGAGGTTTCTCAAGCCTCGTCAAAACTTGGAACAAGTAAAAATAGGTGGAAGTACTCCACTACTTTGTGTAAAGGGTATCCTCCGTGAATCAAGTGTGTTCGATATAAACCGTTGCATGGACCGTGACGATCCAACGACAGAATTTGATGATAAAAAAAGCGTGCGCTTTAATTTAGAGGAGATGCACCACATGCGAGACTCACCCGAGGATGAATTCTCGCCAAAGTTATGCCAGACTAGCGAGTTGTCCGTCAACCTGGACGACGAGGAAGTAGAGGCGGGGATGGACTACGATTTTAATGAAGATCGAGCTAATAACATGTTTAAAGGTGAAAATATTTATAATGATGAATTGCTCCATGGTAATCTCAAAGAGGGAAAGTGTAGCTTAAGCCGTTGCACAAGCGGCTTATCAAAATCCGTACCCAAAACTCAAACTATTGAGAAGATGATGGCTTGTAGTAACAATCCACCCATGGAGCATAATTTGGTAGACTCAACATCTGTTACGTGTAGGTCGATATGTGAATTAAAAGAAGGTGCTACAACGAGGCAACACAAAGATAACAATGACCCAGAACCTGAGCCTAGTTTTGTTCGCAGCTTTATTATAAAAAAAAATTCAGAGCAAGATGCCCTAAATCCAGTAAGCAACAGACCGTTTGATTTGGATGAGTTGGGTCGCAAGCATAGCCATGAGCTAGAGCTGTTGCAGCGCAAATCCGCGGAGGTATCAACAAAAAACGTGCAGGGCCTTAAAATGGCCAGCAAGTTAGGTACTCTATATAAACAGACAGATAGTTTTTTAAGTAACGATGAGGCAATCAAACGCGAGCATGAGGTAAGGCTAAAGAACCTAAGACATGAATACGATTTGCGCTTTACATCGCACCAGCACCAACTCGAAGAAGCGTTCGAGAGTCAAATTGAAAAATATCGGGGCAAGCTGGAGCTTCAGCTGCAAAGCAAGCGTTCTCTAATAGTAAGCGAACATAAGGCTCGAATGGCCATACTGCAGAGTAACCATTCTGAGATTCTCAATGAGTTAGAGCGTGACCTCCATAGTGAGGAAGAGATTCTTCGCCGCGAGCAAGCAGTCAGGCTATCACAAATGCGGGACAATCTTGCCCATGAGCTAGAATTGGAAAATAAACGATTTCGCGAGAAGGGTGAGGAGAGACTCTACGAGAAAGTTCGCTGTGAAAAACGTTTACTTGAGGACAAATATCGTTGTCTCAAAGAAAAATACGTAAGACTTAAAACGGACGTTAGACTGTCCTTAGAACGACGCAATCGACGACGCGAGGTACTCGCTTTTCAGAAAAATTGCCAAAATAATAAGACCAACGCTATCATTGGCTCTGAAACGGAGCGCTCTTTATCCAAAAATCCCATGGAAAATAGGGAAGATCACTCAGTGAGCTACTCAGATAAGGCAGTCAAAGGCAGCTTAAAAGAAAAACCACTGGGGCTTCCGAAGACACAGCTTAATAAGCAGAATATCAGCAGCAAATGCATCGGGCAGCGGCAGCTCAAGAATGAGACGAACACCTCAATCAGTCAGTCGGACACAACAGTATCAAATAACTACTCCAATGGTCGTTATTTACCTGTTTCACAACCCACAAGCTGCAAAGGTTGTGGTACAGTCAAGCTAAGCGGAAACAGAAATTCAGACGCGGAAATTCAAGAGAAAAACAACAACAGCAATCAGCTTAAGGAACTTGGAGGGTCACGGAAGAGGGTCTTTTCACGCGCTAAATCAGCATCAACCTCTAGACTTAACTCCGATTATAAATATCAACTGGAACGTGCGTTCACTCCTGTTGAAAATTTACGGTACCAACTGCGAAAGCTAGAGGATTTAGAGGATCAGTTTCCAGATCATGCGGTTGACGCCACTTTTCATCTTCGATACCCGTTTACTGATATTTCCAACGATCATGCTATTGAGGGTGTGGGCTCGGAACTGGAATTTTTTAAACATCGCATACATATGGAACGGGATTCAGTACGTCGAGCCAAAGAATCTTTGAAAAAAGACCGTAGTGACTTTAGGTTACGGCAACGCGATATAAAACAGCGGATCAAGACTCCCCCTTTGTTACCTAAGCAGTGGCTGGACCAGCATATCCAAGAGGAAAAAGAATTAACCGAGATGGAAGTAAACCTACATCGCACACGTGCTTTGTTAGGTGAGAAGGTTATAAGGCTAAAGCATCTAGAACGGAGCCTGCTCTGCATGTACGAGCAAGACAAGTGCGGTACCAATCTGGATGATGCTGCAACGCTCAGCGATCTTTCGTCGCAATCCAGTTCTGGCTTTAGCAGCACTGATTTCGCCAGTGGCGCAGATCTTCTGAAGCGCAGAGAATACTTTCAGCAGGAATCCATCGAATGGATTCAGAATCTTGAAATTCTTAACGAAGAGATTTGTGAAATTCTTGACATACTAAGTCAAAATCAACAAAAACAGCATCATCAGGAATCATTATCGACCATGGCCATACAATTTTCTAACGACCTTAAGTGGACACACATGCTTAGCCAGCAGGATACCGTAACAGCTATAGTTTCTCCGTTTCAAGCAAGCAACTCAACATCTAGCCATGGTATCAGCGATAGCAGTGGTATCGAGGCGGTACCTGCATCTCAACCAAAACCAACAATTGCGGATCGTCTTGAGACCTATCGCCAGTTAGCTGCTGGACATATGCAAGGCTCGATGGGTGGTGCGATTCTGGCGGCCAATAGTATCGTCTCCCAAAATCGACGGCCTGTAAACTATTCGACCAGTTTGGTGAAACGCTCTCGCGACCTTCGCGATTGGCTGCGTCGGACCAAAACGGAGCATGAGCTGCTAATCGGCACTGGAATTCAACACGGAATCACAGAGAAAACCAAAATTGCTGGTATCAGCGAAGTTAATGGTGAAAGTGATTATAATTCAATCAGCGCATCTGTAATTAATGCAGCCGCAAAAGGGTGAAGCTCTGCAAGTGGGCACACCATTTTACAAAAAAAAAAAACCAGTAGTGGAGTGTTTTGACCATAATATGCAATGCGATCTAGAATGTTTGTCTGTTATGTGCTGTATTACTTATTAGCCGACCGTTAGGAAGTCAAATGATTAAAGAGAATATCCATTTAAAAATGAAAACGACTGACTTCCATAATTTTTTTCATTTGATCTTTTTTACATCTTATCGTAGGACTTGGCATTTCACTCATGTGTTTAACACAGGCAAGGAAACAATTAAATTATGAAGTAGTTAAATTATTAACTGTTCAATAAGCCCGTGTCTATTTTAACCTCCCATATAACAAATATTAGGACAACACTCCTACTGTCAACAGCTCATTTCTGTCAAAACTTGAGAAATCTGCGTTATTTAGCTTGTGTTTGACAGCCATTGATGGACTATTTTAATTCGTGTGAGTACATAAAGAATTTTTTGCGGAGAAAATTTCACTCAATCAAGGCTAAGCTTGATAAATACTACGGTAAGTCTTCACAATCAATTCCAACGTCCTGGACGCCCAGATTGTGGAAGCCATAGGCTTATCAATGGGCTCAGTGGTTTCAATTTTGAATGAACACTTGATCATGAGAAACCGTTTCGCAAAATAACTGCCGCGCTTGCTCATAATTGACCACAAACGCATTCGAGTGATAGCTTTGATTTCCATAAATGATGCTCCCTAAACCACCCTGAGCGATTATTTCTTGAACCTGAAGAAATGGCTCGGCGGAAAGACACTTGAGTCTAACAGTGAAGTCATCTCACAAAAAAGCCTACTTTGAAGCTCTCGAGAAGGGATACATATATTAGCGAATCGTTGGACCATGCTGAAAAAACCAGTGTTTCATTCATAAAGTCACCGAATTATATCCCTCGTAAACTTCGTGGAAATGCCAACTGAGGCTAAAAAATGAAAGGTCAATAAAAACACATTGAAACTGAGCCAACGGAAATTGAACCAATTGGCACATAATTTCGTTAGCTTCGATGAAAACCTATTCAAATAAGAAAAGTTAGTTTTACTCGGGTTTTTGTTATTTTTATAGTCATGATCTTCTATAAGAAAGATGATTCTTAATAAAAATGTTTCCTCAAAGTGTCTCTTAAAAATCAACTATGTTGTTTGTCAAGGAAATATGAAGTGATTCATAGAAAAATGTGAGGTGATAAAGTAACAAAAAAAAACATGAAAAAAAACGTTCTCGACGCGTACGTAAAGAACAATAATTTATTGTGTAAATACTCGATAGGAACCCACCTTAATCCTCTTTAAAAAAAAATTATCTTCTTTAGAATATTTGTTTCTGTTTTGAAGATTTTCCCAATTCCAGATTAAGCCAGGACTTCTATTTCGTGTACGTTCGCGACCAAAACTTCATTGCAATCCTTATGAAAACTAAAAATTGGATGAACCCCATAGAGAACTAAACAGAGCTAACAAAATGACAAATGGCTTAAAAAACTAGTACATTTTTTTAAAAATAATTTTACATCAAAAAGCTACGAACATACGTTTGCGATCCGCGGAAATGACTAACTAACTTGGCATAACTAAAGCGTGTCAAAAAAAAGACTATGGAATTATGTTGCATGACGCACAAAAAAGCTTTTCAACGGCGGGGTTGCTGGCGGTATGCTGGCGGGTATGTAGCTTTTTCAACAGAGAGCAAAATTCTTTATGCTTCGCCTCTGACCACTGCAGTGTCTATGAGAGCTCTCAGTTTGTCTGTCTTCAGCAGTCGCATTTTCCAACTACTCCATAGGACCAAATTATACATTTTTGAGAGTGAAAATTTCGTGCTAACCATTTTCGTTTAGTAAAGAGGAAATATGGATCTACAAGGAAAATGTTTAAAAAGAATTATTTTCTGTGGCCTAACAGCAGTTTTTCACCTGTAAAAGTATTGGTTTTATACTCGTCGGAAAATGAAAATCGCGCAATTGTTTCAGACAGTTCCGGGTTTCCTTTATTAAAAAGAAAAAAATTAATAGACATTTTAACACGCCTGGCATCAAAATAAGTCTAATGAAAATTGGGATTTTAATGCCAAAAGGATTTTTTGTGGACTAAAAATGCAATTATGTTACTAAATGGAAAAACTACATATGGGATAAAAACCAGATGAAAATAATAATATTGTGTCAAAAACAGAGTAAAATATTTCCAAAACTCATGTTACTCATATGTATATTCGCATGGTTTTTTCTGTCTTGTCAATTACTATGGTTTCTAAAAGCAACAATATCAAAATTGCATCAAAATCGTAAGAGTCTTTTAAAAGAAGTCTTTGCGTTAACTGAAAGATTTTTTTCGACTTTTCCTGAGTTTTTAAAGTAAAAATTTGATAAAATACCAGAATACCATTTTTGTTTCATTAAAAAAACTCTTACCATAAAAAAAAAATAAAAACCATAATTCATTCAACATCTTTTATAAAGAGACGCTTTGGTTCGTGGAGTAAACATGTTGTTGCATAGTTTTATTTAGTGTTATCAGATGAATAGAAATGGAGCAGAAAAAGATAGCTCTGGGATTCGGCTAGCGCCGCGTTATCGTGAGCCAACACAGCAACGATTTGCATGTGTTAGTACAACACACACACAATAAGCCAGGCTCAAGTTTTCACTTTCACAAAAGTTGTCCGAGTTTTCATTTTGAAATCACATAATTGGTGCTTCCATTTTCATAATGCGTAAGATTTCTCCGTTTTCAAAACGAAAACATTTTCCTTGACGAAATGAAAAGTAAACGAAATGACAAAAGAACGAATCTTAATTGCAAACGAAGAAAAATAGATGACATTAACATTAATTTGGCACCAGGACAATTTAGCGTGTGGTTTCTTTATAAATAGTTTTTTCTTAACCCAAACTAGAATTTGGCTCGAAAATAATTGGTACGGGCAACAACACTTCTCGTGCTCGTGCAAACAGCTGACGCAGTCCGATTTGATTATCGGAACGTTGGCAAGAAATAAATGTTTACGCATAACAGCAGAAATAGAAGAATTTCTTTTTTGACCATTAGCAATTTAATTTGCAATATGCAGCCTGATACTCACAGCTCGTCAGACATGGTAAATACTTAGGTGTTTCATCTAGTATTTCTTTATCTTCTTAAATCACGAACTTTCTGTCGTCGTTTTGCATCAAAACAAGCAATTGAAAAAATGAAGACATTTTATCACGCTGTACACTTACGAAGCAACCAGGTCTGTTGATTTTGTTTTTCAGAATCGATGAGAAAATGATCCATACTTTTCATTTCATACGAAATATTTTTAAAAAGGGGAGCACCTAAAACGAAACGTTTTGGCTGAAACCATAGTTCGTAAAAGTTCGGAGCCTGCTTCAATATTTTCTCACAAAAATATGTGATGCTTATTCGTTTTCAGAGTTTAATTTCAGTTCCAGTGAGTTTTAATGTATGGTTGCACACGCATTCTCACGTACTTTGCTTGTTGTTTTATTATTGCTGGCAGCTAAAACTGAAATTTTTATTTTGTTTTTGGTGCTATTTCTCTTGAGGGTCCAGCGTACTTTAATGTGTTGAAGTAAACGCATTATCACATTCTGCATGTATAGGTTCTACGGTTGCTGGAATTTATGGACTATTTAACCTACTTTACCATTTTTTGAGCTCGCACTTTTTGAAGATGCTTGCCCCAAAATTTCGGATAAACTGTTTTTTTTATATATGCTTCAAATGCTAGTTTTGTTAAATATCGAATATACGAATATAATGTACAGATATACACTTGTATACATACAATAACAACATTTTGCATGAGGAACCGAAAGATGTTCTATGCCGTGATTTTTAATGACACCCCGTAGACAGAAGGCGCGACCATTTGTGGTCAAACTTAGCACGAAAAATATAGTATTTCACTGGGGAAACATATTTTCATCTGCGAAGATAATTTTTCTACTGCATATATAGGGACGAAAAAATTGAAACCGAATCTATTCCACAACTTCAAATTTAGTCGAAAAGCTGGAAAGTAATTGTGATGAATTTATTGAACCTGAAGTAATTACAATAAAATAACAAAAGCTTATCTATTAGCGCTAATTGCAATACATTTTCAAAGTCAAGTAACGTTTATAAAAAAAAATTGCAACACGCTACTGGCAAAAATACAAAACAGAAAAAAGGATTTAAATCCAAAAAAACAAAATTCCAGAGCAGAAAGCATAAAAAATATGTTCCCAGCCAAAAAATTAAAGATATTAATAATTTACAGATTAGTAAGGAATTAAAAATTTTAGCAAATTGTTGTTCAGATAGGAGCCAAACAAATCCCTCCAGCCTGGGTTTGAAAATACTGCTTTTGATTCAATTTGAAATTTTGTTTACAAATTGAATGAAAAAAATGAAATTGAAGTAGCCCGTATGATGCATTAAATGGCAATAAGAAGTGAGCTTCGCTATAATGAAAAGCTAGATATAATTGACGGATTCGTGCACAATGGTTTTGAACGAACGTTACAAATTGGTAAGAAAGTATGTATATTTTTATGTTATGACGGGACCAGACTGCTTTTCCAACAGCTCGAAGCAGCGGCCAGTTTTGCTTCCAGCCACTTCCACTGGTCCCTAGTTCTCGAGTCCGCGCTGCCTTTGTCCAGGACGCCAATCAACGTCTTTTCTCTGGCAATCTGCACGATCGATGCACTCGGCAGTACTCTAGAGCGCTTCGGTGTTGGTCCAGGAGTCTCCTGCGAGCGCTGCCTCTTTGGCTGAGGGGCTTCCTTCTTCGGTGCTTCCTTGCCAAAGTTCGGCCGCACCTTCGAGGCCCACTCAACCTTCTTTAGCCATTTGTCCGTTGGGCTGGACATCTGGCTTGCGTTCTGCCGACGGAGTATGTTGCCAGCACTCCTTCTGTCAGCATATGTGTATGTCTTGGCTTGGACGCTTGCAGATGGTAACTCATCCCCCCCTACTTTACCAGCAGGCAGAGCAGCCGCAGGATTGCATAGCAAATCTGCCAAGGTATCGGTCCTGGGAGTCGATTTACCACCCACCCCGGATCAGGTGTGAAACCCCTTTGGATTCTCCCTAGCGTCTTCCGCGCTGGTTTTCCCTGCTGTCTTGCGGGTTGGGCCAGGCCTTTTGGTGGTTGGGATATCGGTA